CATCCCACAGGTAGGGCGTGTACTCCAGTGGTAGTACTGTACATAGGTGGTTGTCAACTCTGATATCAGGTTATCCAACGAAAGGCGGGCGGTATTTATCTCCAGCTCGTTGCCGCTGAGGTGAACTAGTCTCCCTATGACTCTGACTCGGATGTTGCGATATGACTAACAGTCGGGATTATTAACTAGTCGTAACTTGAAGTTATAGCAACAGTACTACTACGTACTCCGTACTAAGTTCAAGTTGCTGTCAATAAGCGGGGGTGCGCGTAGTCTACACGTGATGTCACCATCCCGCAGATCCATTTAAATCGATCTCACGTACTCCGTATCTCGCAACTTTTAACAATGATTGTAGTCTTGTTAAGGTTCCCTTTTTGTGAGATTGATTGCTATTATGCTAACTAAGGTACAGTACTATCTAGGTAATATTACTATAATGCGAGCGAATCAACTTCGTACGCAGCGAAATATATGCCCTAAGCCCTAAATAGAATTTCTATAGCGGAAGGATAGACCTTTTTTATCAAGGTTTATCTCGAGCGTTAATTACTAACTTTCAGGGCTCTTCTGTTACTTTTTGTACCTGGATTTCCAAGTGCAGCTGTCGTTTGCTTTTGAGATGCAATGCAGAAGCACGGTGCTGCTCGGATCTGCCGCCAAAGTCGCTGACATCTCTAAGTTCCAGGTTCCAACAACGAGGCTGCTTCTTCCCTCTATTCAATCATGTTTATTCAAGTTTAGTACTCCGTACTTTCGGCAGGAAAATGGCAAATCCTCGTGGGTTTTTGTTGTGCGTCACGCCTGGCTGTATCTGGTGCGGTATCACCCTGATTACAGTTGATCCAGATGGGCCCGATTACTTGCTAGCTACTACTAGTGAGACCAAGGTCATTACTGGTTTGCGTCAGACCTGCATTATTTTTATTTTTATTTTTGGTCGGAAGTCGATATGATCTGGCCACCTGAAAGCAGCAAGATGTGCCACCATGATTATAGTTCAAGAGCAAGACCTCGTCCTAGGCGGTACCTTGATTCCTTCTTGCACACAGTAGGGAATTTTGGGACAGCCTCAGAATAACGGGCGATCTACTGGTCATTGCGCACTGGACTGAGGCTTGAGATGAACTCGCCCGTCTCACTAGTAGCATGCTTTCAACAAGTCGAACCATCCAATGGATACCCAGTGCTACATGCCCAGTATTAGAGGACGAGATGTTTGGATTGTTGCAATGAAAGTCGTAGGCATGCAACCGAATTGCAAATTTGATCCGGCCGGATGTGCGTCTCGCCGCTCTTTTATTTAATTGTCTAACGTTGGCATTCTTTTCCTGTCGCACATAGCCTCTAGATATTTAACTGGTGCTATGTCCTGTGTCCGCTGTAGTCCGTACGACGCTTATGGTTTCGTTAAATCGTTCCTGTATCCCCCGCCCGTCTTTGAGATATTCGCCGCCAAGATTTCCCTGTTAATGATCGACGTGCGAGATTCCCAGTTCTGCTCCGCCAATTCACCGCCTACAAGGTGCCAGCCCTGGGCCGGCAATGTCTCTTATCCTCTTTTGCATCACTTAAAAAGGTCTAGATAGCCCCCCGCCCCCAACCTGCGAAGGTCGAATGCGACCTAACTCATATGGAGTTTTTGTTTCTTTTTTTTTTGTGCTTTAAAATTCTCTGGCTGACAAGACGGTCGTTTCTGAATGCGTTCATTTCTGTTAGGCTTCATTGGAGCCGCTGCACTTGTTATACCCGCCCTCGCTTACCCAAGCTCCCCTCCTGTTGGCTGCGATATAGTAGAACAGCTTCATTCAATCCCTCCAGGATGGGCGCAACAAGAAGCCCCGGCCCCTGACACCCTGATACAATTTCGACTTGCTGTTACGCAAGAAAAGGGATGGCTGTTTGAACAAGCGGTTCTCGACCTCTCTACACCTGGGAGCCCGAATTATGGCCAACATATGAAGCGCGATCAAGTCAAACAGTTCCTAAAACCATCGCCGCATGTTTCAGAGTCAATTTTGTTATGGTTAGAACGAGGAGGCGTTCCCAAGGCAGCGATTGAGGACCATGGCGACTGGGTTAATTTTATAACTTCCGTCGCACAGGCAGAGAACTTGCTTCAAACGAAATTCTACTATTTCTCTAACTCAGTTCGCGGTGATCGGATAATTCGAACTCTGGAATACTGTGTGCCTCGTGAGATTTTCCCTTACGTCCATATGATCCAGCCGACGACGAGATTTGGCCAACTCAAACCAGATGCCAGTAGCCTTAGTGCCATTCTCCTTCTGGAACCTGATGATAAATATCCCGCAGTTAACTGCAGCCACGCTATGGCTCCACATTGCATTCGTGAAATATACAACATGGGGAACTTCACGGCTACCCGAGATCCTCGCAATAAAATTGGAATTTCGGGCTACCTTGATCAATACGCGAGATATAGTGATTTCGAACTCTTCGTTAAAAAGTACGCCCCGGAGCTAAAGGGAGCGTGTTTTGAAGTTGTTTCCGTTAACGGGGGTTTGAACCTCCAAAACTCGAGCCTACCGTCCGTGGAAGCCAGCCTGGATGTCCAGTATGCAATTGGTCTCTCCAACGCAACCACAGTATATTACACTACCAAGGGGCGTGGCCCAATGATACCCGATCTAGATCTTCCTGATAAAAATGCCAACTCGAATGAGCCCTTCTTAGACCAGTTGCATTATTTACTCTCCCTTCCAGATGGGAAGTTACCAGCCATTCTTACCACTTCATACGGTGAAAATGAACGAAGCGTGCCGGAGAAATACACAAATTCCACATGCAATTTGTTCGCCCAGCTAGGTGCACGAGGAGTATCAGTGTTATTCTCGAGTGGAGACTCTGGACCGGGAAGTGCTTGTCAATCCAATGACGGCAAAAACACAACACGATTCGACCCCATTTTCCCCGCTGCTTGCCCATTCTTAACGTCGGTTGGTGGAACGCAAGGAATGAACCCTGAGACCGCAGCGTACTTCTCCTCTGGAGGATTTTCCGACCGGTATGCCCGCCCGGCATACCAAGACCATGATGTTTCAGTGTTCTTGGATAAACTAGGCAGTCGATGGGAAGGCCTATATAACCCTGCGGGTCGAGCTTTTCCGGATGTCGCCGCACAGTCGGCACAATTTCATGTCGTTGATCACGGTGAACCAACATATGCGTCAGGAACGAGGTTCGTGAAACCCCATTTGGCTGCTTCCTTATGCATGAGGCCTTTGCATGCCTCTTTTTCTACATGTTCCAACCTTCCACTTTAAATATCCCGGTCCCTGTCCCGCCATGTTTTCCCCCTTTCTGTCACAGAAAGGCCAAAACAAACCATATCAAAACAGCGTACTGACAATTTTCCAAACAGCGCCTCTGCACCCGTATTCGCCGCAGTTATAGCAAATCTCAACTCTATCCGCCTAGCTAAAGGGAAACCTGTGCTTGGATTTCTTAATCCATTCCTCTACGGCCTTCGGGGAGCTGGTTTGAACGACATTGTTGACGGCCGTTCAGAGGGATGCACTGGCATGGCCAGATCTTCCGGCTTACTTACGCCATACGTTCCCGGCGCCGGGTGGAATGCAACCGTTGGATGGGACCCTGTAACCGGACTGGGCACGCCAGATTTTGCAGCTCTGGCTAAAATAGTGAAGGATTTATGAGATCGAAACTTTTTTTTTTTTTTTCCAAGCATAAATAAACCTCATCTTCTTTACTCAGAGCGGCGTTCTGGGCGTGATTTGGCTCTCATACTACAGTTACTTTTTTCTTTAAGAGTTATATGGAATCGCCGAGCGGGTACGGTCAATCAGTGTCATCGAATAATAGAATTGGAAATCCGGAATAGATATCTAGTAATAGTTTACTAGTAGTATTGAATTTTGAAACTGCGCACGGAACGAAAGGAATAATGATAGTATGCCGGCTGTGACGATAATTTATAAGATATGTACACATACCTGGAATGTCCAAGTGGCTGTAAAATAATAAATATATAACCTGATATTCACGACTATACTCGTATACAAGAACGAGCTTTGCGCGAGCATCATTACAATGGACTCAAATAGATCTATTATCTAGAGATGCATTCCCTGTTCGATGGCCCGATCTTACGCTGATGCTGATTTCGAGGTCTCCTCTCCAGCAAAAGGGGCATGCCCAGGAGAAATTTCTACGCATATTTATCCAACCTACTGGTGACAACCTAGCCTGCCCTTCTCTGTCACCAGACTTCAACGGAATTCTGTGGCATGACACTATCTATGTGTCTATCCACGGTTGCCGCTGCAAAACCATTATTATTCCTGCTTACACTTGGGACTGCTTCTCCATCAACCCACCTAATCACTATTTCGCCTACGGCCTCGAATTAGCACGCTGTTCTATCTGTACCCAATCACGGGATGGGACCCCTATTTATCTATCGAAGTTTACCACTCTCTCGATCATTGGTTCACCTGTAACTATATCGCGGGGATCGAGTTCCTTCCACACTGAAGAAGTAGTACACAGCGCAAAAGGTAATAGAATGGTATTAGTCCGTTTACACGGCATCAATTCACCATCTGTAGAACCATTCTCCTTTGCTAGTACTTACCAATAGGCTTATTCTCCTGCCTGATAATACTAGTACTAGTACTATGTAGTAGTGAAAATGAGGTGATCCGGTTTCACATTGTTTCTGAAATCGTACGGGTGTTACCCCAACTCTCTCCTCGGGATAAATGACTATCTTCCGTGATTTAGTACTAGTTGATAGCTATTTTTGACAGGATGGTTCGACTTACTTTGCACACTAGAGGGAGCTGCACTCTGCAGCTTGATTTAATCTCAAAACGTTGTGCGTCCCAACATCAAAACCATTGTAATTTCCCTTGATGTTGAAAAACGAGGGAAGGGTAGATGGCCATGGCGCAATAATCAGCTTTGTTGAAAGTCTATGTGTTAAAATATACAAAATCTGCGCGAAAACCAATATAGGGCGCTTGGTTTAGTGGTATAACATATCATTCGCATTTTATATATCTAGAGTGTATATATTTGCGTTTCTTGATAGGGTCGCCAGTTCGATTCCGGCAGCGTCCATTAAGTTTTTTTTTGTTATTTCAAATTCCTAAGGCCCGCAGCTCTTTACCCTTTTCGTTTACTCAAAAGTTTCATGTAATTATGTATTTAGCTTCCCTTTATTGAACACTGTATTCATCAAGATTTCTATTGTCATATTTAGTATTTTATTCTGCGTAGTAGTAAGTACTTTATATTGGCCAAACGGAAAAACCTTTTTGCGGCGCCCTGTCTACCCATCGTTGCTCCTGGGGAACTTTCTAGCTCCCAGCCCAGCCAGCTTCTCTCCATACGACTATGACCCCTACTTGAACGCCATTGTTAGTTATATACTATACTCTCAGTCGACGCATATTCATTCCCGTCGTTCCCTACACACCACCGTTTCAGGTCTTATCACACCATGCCAGACAAAAACCTCTTAGAACTCCAAGACCTCATCGCTGCCTTCAAAACCAACCTCCAGCGCAAGCAGTTCTCCCAAGCTGAAAAGCTCGTTCAGAAAACAACACCAATCCTTCACAAGCTGGGGGCTTTTTCCCTGACCGATTCAATCGATGATGAACTCTTTAGCCTCGCCCGTGAATCCCTAGAACTATCTGCTATCACCTCACTTCACCTGAGAGAACATGACCCAACAAAGCAAGCCCTCTTCACCACAAGTTACAAGCTCCTAAAGCCATTTTACGACAAGGAGCAAGCTCTGAAAATGGCCAAAGACCCGGCTCTAGAGAATCTAAATCCGAGTGCCAGTCAAAGAAACAAGATTACGGCTCTGTATCTGGTATATCTACTGAGTGAAGGCAATATAACAGAATTTGATACTGTTTTGGCTGGGCTGAGGGACGTGGATGAGGATAGTGTCAGGAATGATCCATTACTTCAATATCCGATTGACTTGGCGGCCAGTATGACGGACGGAAGGTATAACGTGGCGTGGGAGCAGCTGAAGAATCAGACGAGGCGGGGTGCAAATTCAGCAGAGTTGTCAGGGCAAGCAAAGTTGCCCGAGGAATTTCAAATATTTTCTCCGGTATGTATTTTTCCTTCTAGAAGCTGTCCCTTAAACTGCGAATCTATGTGGAGAGAGAAATTAGGGAAGTTGGGGTGGAGAGAATCTTTGCTCTTTGCAACTCAACTGCTAAGATCATATTTCCAGGACCTCCTGAGCACAATCCGAATGTGGATGGCCGCGAGCGCTGAAAAAGCATACGAATCCCTCTCCATATCGAGTGCCAAAGATGTGTTAAAACTCGATTCTGAAAGAGATGTTGTTGAATTTGCACAAGCTCGTGGATGGATTCTCAGGGATGGGAGAATATACTTCCCCCAATCGGAAGCGACACAGATGCAAGGCTCAGAAAAGAGTGTTTCAAACGCCAGCCGCACGATTATCGAGAATGGAATTAGCTATGCTCAACAGCTGGGGACGATTGTGTAGTTACACCTGTTTGCGCTTTGTTCGCTAACAGCTCTAAATCTCTTGGTGCTCGTGGGTGGAGTGTCATATAGAGGCGTTCGCTGCAAATCCTAGAGTGAAGATAAAGTGATCAACAATGCATTGCATTCGGTCTTGAAGAAGGCCGTTGATTGCCTCCGCTTTAATTCTCATGATTACTGAGAGATACCTCTCCTTCCCCCCTCCCCGTTCTTTTTTGCTTTCGCAACCCATAGAGTACGGATGAGACTGACTCATTCATAACTTCCTTAATCTGCCCATCATGTACCAGACGAATACCAACTTGCCCCAAAGAACAAACATAACAAGAAACAATAGAGTTAACTTCTCAATTCCTAAACTTTGGCCTTCCATACGCAAATCTTCTTATCGTAAAAACTGCTTGAGACACAGAGCAAGGAACAAACCCGCTCCTCCTCAGTTTGGTTGTCACCTCCTCCCATATCGCTACCTCTCCATACATCCGATGCATAATTCATACTCTCATGTTCCGTAAACTGTGCCAGGACTTTAATATCCCACCTACCCATCCCTAACCCATCACCCTCCTGAGCAACAGTAGAGCACGTCACCTTTACTATCCTCACCCCGGCATGCATACAACTAGCTAGAACCAAATACGAACGTTCTCTCCTCATGTTCGAGAATGCCTCCATCCCCAAAGGCTCTTCTTCCAGCTTGGTTACGACCTTCAACCTCCACACCCCTCCTCCCAACCTTTCCTCGGCCAATACCGAGGCCAATACCGAGCCCCGCCCCGTAAGCTTATACACACGAAGGTATTCATCGTAGCTACCCGTAAGCAACACCGTCTCGCCACCTTCAGTAAATAAGGGCAGAATCGCCGTGATCCCTGCTCCATGGTGCCGGCTACCAACACGGGCCTCCACGGTCTGCACGGGGAACTGCCCGTCAGTCCATACCACCCCACCTTGCTCGCCGCCGTGCTCTTTTCCTTCCACATTCCCTTCCCCTTCCCCTTCCCCTTCCCCATCCCCAGCAAATTGATGCACACGCAAACCCCCAAAATCATCTCCAGAGAGTAGCATGAGCTGTTTCCCCCCGGATAACGAGTTTCCATAATGAAACGTCGTGAACCAGACTTCTACGGGCTCGCCTGGTAACGCTATCTCTGTCATTGATTCTTTGGAGATCTCATGGGAGGGAGAATTAGTGTGGAAGACGGAGACTCGTCCGTCTGAGAAAGAGACGGCGAAACCGTCTGTGGATAACTGGCCATTATGATAGTCATGATCAAGACTGCCTCTACTTCCTGTCGTTAAGGTGGGTGGTGGTAACCAAGAAAAATAGAGGGCGGAGATGCTGGTGTCATCATGGACTGGAATTGAGGTTAAGAGGGTGATACTGGTGAATGATGATAATGACGAGGATCGCCCATTCGCATGTGAAGCCTCTAGGCGGTATAAACAGACGGATGCTGCGTTTGTGGCAACCGCGAAGAGAGTGGGATCGCGGGGGGAGAAGTGCAGGTCGAAGACTGCATGGGGGAGTGATATTTTGTGGATTTGCGTACTACAACGATCCCGTTAGTGATGGTGTTCAAAATATAGAAACAAGAATAAGATAATTAGAATCAAGAAAAAGATTTAATGGATACACAGACGAAGTGTAAGCATATAGGTGTGTTAATACGTAAAATCTTACAGCTGAAAAGATTCGGAATCGAGCTTGAAGAGCTGGATAGTCCCAGTTTTTGATTGTTGAGTGCCAGTTGAATTTTCCGGGGATGATTCAGATAACAGATATGTCCCGATAACTAGATAGTCAGGGGCTGCAGGGCAGAATTCTAGGCAGCTGGGTGGTTGATCAAGGAAAGTTGTGTAGAGTGACTGCGCGCTCAGAATCGTAGTACCCATGGCAGGTATTAGGATGCCAAACGTCGCAGATTATACAGTAGTATGTACGGGGTTTTATCTATGTTGATGCGAAGTTAAATATCTGTTCCAAGGGGAGGATTTATTTCTCACTCCAGCACATAGTAGTACTACTAGTAGATTAGAGTGGTGAAAGGTTGGATATAAAATTTTTTTTCGTTGAATTAAAAATATCGAACTTGCCAATTTTCAGGATGAGTTGTAACTCGCTATATTTACCATTTACCATTTAGTATGAAAGATATGCGGACCAGTAACAAATGTCTCATGTGGTAGGTTTTCTCAAAGCAATATATTTTATGTGTTGTGGTTCTATCTTCATTCATTAAATATTGTCTGAAAGCTTAAATTTAAATTCTATTTAGTTGTCATAAATTAATAATTGAATTTATGAATTCATGAATTATATAATTATCCATTAAATAACATTTAAATTATTTAATATATTATGCTTTATACAGTACTAATACTAGAACAAGAGCATTTTAATCTCGTCTGCGAGGAATGATCTCCGCAGGATCGGAAGATAGCGTATCCTTTAAGTTAGATACAGGTTGAACTTCTCCACTTGCAGTTCAGCATCTTTGTTTGTTTGAATCATTTTTTGACACACTTGAATCTGAGTCTTCAACAGGAATCGCTACAGAGTCATTCTCGCTCTGTAGTATCATTTGCATCATTCTCTAATCTCGGTGACTCTATTTTCAAAAGCCAGCGCATAAAATTTAGCTTTTTATTATATTCGCATTCTGCTTTTTCGAAACGATTGTTACTCAAATTCAATATCTGGACTCCGTATTTTAATCAGTAGTAGTTAGATAAACTAAATAATTGAAATAAAGAAATCACACAATACCTTAGTATCTTCAACATCATGCTTCGCGAATGAGTTCAAGTTGTCATGTCGAAAGTCATTTTCAATTTTCGGGGTATGATGAATACTATTATTTTGACACGTTTTTCTTGGTGTCCACGAGAACATTCTGTTGATAAAGTTCTTCCCAAGCTGAATATTTCGCTTGAGCAATCTTTTTCATACGACGAAAACTTGGGTAACCCATAACAGAAATTTTTGATCAAGCAAGTCTGCTCAAAATGAAGGGTGTGTAGCTGATGTCGAATGAATTAAGAAAAGAAAATGAAAGCTATCTTGATCAAAGAACTTGGGAAGGTTGTTTATTTAACAAAAGACGCGTTCTCGCGCAATGATTGAGATCCATGGATTGTAGAAAATTTGAAAACTCTAGACGTGCCCGGAGTGAATTTCCTTCATATCCTTAAGTGTCTAGAAGAGATGTTTTTTCTCACTAGGATCTCTTGGTCATTATGTGATTAGACATTTGTACAGGGCATACCATGCAACCGACTATAAACCTTTCTACTCTGTATTTTACCAAACCTCTTCTAGCACCTCATAATTAAGTCCTAGGCGCGCTGTAGAAATTTTGGCGGAGCAGAGTAAGAAATACTAGTAACTACCAGATAGACAGTAACAACCATATGAAGCTTTGTGATCAGTGACTTGAAACGTATTTTTGAAATAAAATCATTTATATAATATCATACCTGTCAGAAAATTTGCTTTCTCTTTCTAACCTTCAGAATATAGATGTCTAACTATATTACTATATTCTAATTAATGAAAATATAAATAACTGATTACCAGT